GGCTGGTTAAGCATTTGGCTGGTTAAGCTTTCAGGCTTTTGAGCAACAGTTCAGCTGAGACCCATTCTGGATGAGGACTCAGAGGCCTCCAGTCTGAGGAAACAGGATCAGCTGAGGAACTGGCCAGGTGAGGTAGCTGTGGCTTGTTCTGCTTCTCTGATCTTCCAGAATTTAGCCCAATAACTGGTCTCAGGTTTGATTTTATTAATAAGAACTTTTAAGATTCCTGCTACAAAGGCTACTGGAAATAAACATGAAATTGTTCAGTTGCTGGAAGCCCTCTGACTGCCACCTGAACTGGTCATAATACATTGGCCAGGACACCAAAAAGACAAAAGCCCCCAAACTCAAGATAGCAACCATGCAAATCAAGTCACCAAAGAGCCTGCCTGCCCTTTGGGAACCCAAAGCCCAGACCATTCTAGAACTATCAACTGTTCCCCAGCCCCATTATGCCTCAGTGCAGATGTTTCTGAGTATGGTCCAGAAGAAATCAAGTTCTATTCTGACTTGGAGGATCAGGAAAGCTGCAGTGGATGGTGGATCTTGCCAAACGGAAGAATTGGCATGCCAAAAGTACTGTGCCGGAACTGCCTAACTGCTTCCCATCTGGCTCCCTGGACGTTGAGAAATATTTCAGAGCATTTCAGATCGATGCCTGACCTGTGTTCCAATAAACGCAAAGAAGGACACAGAGTCAGGCATCCATCCCCAGGACAACAGAGTCGAGGTACTGTACCCAGTGAATCTTGTCAGTCAGACTTTACTTAAGTCAAACTAGGACTATATGGCTACAACTATCTGCTGGTCTTTGTCGATACTGTCACAGGCTGGGTAGAGGCCTTTCCGTCCCAAACAGAAACGGTCCAGGGTGAAGCTAATTAATAATAGAAATTAATAATAGAAATTATTCCCAGATCTGGCCTTCCCATATCTCTGGGGTCCAACAATGGCCCAGCCTTCATGGCCAAGTTATCTCAATTACTCTCTAAGGCTCTTAGCATAAATTGGAAACTGTTGTATTATCATCCTCAGAGCTGAGAGAAAGTAAAGAGGATGAATAGAACTTTAAAGGAGATTTTAACTAAATATACTCTTGAAATTGGTGGTAACTGGGTTGACCTCTTGCCTTATGCCCTTCTCAGAGTCCAATGTACCCCCTACTGAGAAAAGTTCACCCCATCTGAAATAATCTATGGGCAACCACCTCCCATGATTCTTCAGGTACATGCTGGACTAAGATCAGATTGCCCCACTCCAATCTCTGCGTCCTTAAAAGGACTGCAATTAATATTAAATAAGATTTTTCCTCAGGCCGGGCGGTGGTGGCGCACGCCTTTAATCCCAGCACTTGGGAGGCAGAGCCAGGCGGATCTCTGTGAGTTCGAGGCCAGCCTGGGCTACCAAGTGAGTTCCAGGAAAGGCGCAAAGCTACACAGAGAAACCCTGTCTCGAAAAACCAAAAAAAAAAAAAAAAAAAAAAAAAGATTTTTCCTCAGGTTCCCATTGCTCAACCTGTTGGGTACTGACCACCTAGACACTCTGTATTCATCTACTGCTTTGACACTGACTGGCTTAAACCTAGATGGAAAGGACCTTAGATCATGATTCTCCAGATGGCTACTGCTGTTAAGGTTTCTGGTATTCCTGCCTGGGTTCATTACTTGTCCCTCAGGAGGGCACCCAAGGAACCCTTGGAAGAGGAGCCCAACCCCCAGAGGTGGAAAGTGACTGAAAAAAAAAAGCATTAAAAATCAAACTGTCTAAGGTTTGACTGTCTAACATAAGTTACTAATGGCATAGGGTATAACCTATGACTCCATCTAACCCTAAAAAGCCAACAAGAAAACTCCTTGGTGTGTCAGAGTTGATCCTTCTATTGCTGGACTCATATTTATATGGCATAGGGATTACATATGAAAATTATACAAGAATAGTGGGGGACAAAATGGAACATGGCCCCCACCAACATTTCTAGAGCCATAGCTGACGGTCCTGTTAATGATGTCTTTTTCCTCCACTGTCAATGTTTCGATGGAGCTAATGCTCCCTCTCATTGTAATTCCACTTCTTGTCACGTCCTCCCCTTTGGTAAATGACTGCCCTCAGGATGGACCCTTTTCTGTGAAAATACTACTTATTCTGCTCCCTCTGAGGATACAAAGGTTTATGTGAGATAGCACATGTTCACCCCATTTTACTCAGCAAATCTTCACAATCAAGTAGTAGAGTCACAAGAGCCCTTTCTGAGATTGCGATGATTCCCCACACCTGTCAGACCCCAACAGGGTTGCTGCTACTGCAGTTTTTCTATCACCCACCCCCAGACTCATTGTCGGGTTACAAAGAGAAACCTCTAAACTAGCCTGATCAATTGCCAAACCTACTAAAATTACAATATATTAGCCAAAGTGATCAAGAAATGTGAGAACCAAGAACAATAGTTCTACACAGTAGGGCTACCATAGACTAGTTGTTGCTTAAACGTGATCTTGGTTGACAGTGATTTACTGATATGTGCTGTTTTAATATCTCTGCTTTCTCTCATACTATTGATAACCAAATTGATAATCTACATAAAAAAATAGACGAAATCTCTCAAACAAATTTTGACTGGCCCACATGGCTAAGATGGTTCTCTCCCTTCACTGGTCCTCTAGTGTTTCTACTGGTCATCAGAATTGGGCCCTGGGTCTTCCAAGTGTTACCAACTTGATCACCCATCAAGGAAACGATGCTAGAAGTATTGCCACCAGATGACATAATTAAAAACAGTTCCCTATTAAGGATTTGACAGGGACACATAAGTCAAGGAGGGAATGAGGAACCTGCCCGACTCCATTTTGAAGACAGAAACCATTTTGTTATTAGTAAGTTTCCATTAAATGTAACAGCTGAGTTTCTGTTTTAAGTTTCTGTTCCCTGTGACCTGACTGACTTTAATCCATGAAATTGGCCCCCACAGTCTCATAGGAAGTGGTGCTAATAGGAGGTGTGGCCTTGTTGGAGGAAGTGTGTCACTGGGGGTGGGCTTTGAGGTTTCAGATGCTCGAGCCAGGACCAGTGTGTCTCTCTCTCTTCCTGTTGCCTGCCAATCCAGATGTGGAACTCAGCTACCTCTCCAACACCATGTCTGTCTGTGTGCCCCCATACTTCCCTCCATGATGATAATGGACTAAACCTCTGAACTGTAAGCCAACTCCAATTAAATGCTTTTCTTTGTAAGAGTTGCTGTGGTCATGGTGTCTTTGCACAGCAATGGAAATCCCAACTAAGACAACCACAATGGCTTGTTTTTGAGAACACCTGACCCTCTCTAAAAAGTGACCACATGATGGTGGCTGTTTTCCACTTGATGATTTTTTTTTTAGATTTTTTTTCCCCAAACTAAGAGCTCATTGCCTCACTTCTGCAAACCTGCTTTGCAGCTACTCATGATTTTACTCCTTAAAAGGGACACAGAGTCAGCATTGTTCTCTCTGACCCAACTTACGACGAAGTCACTTGACCAGCTCTCAGATGCACCTGAACAGAATAAAGCTTGCTTCAATATGCCCCAAAAATTGTGGTAGCGGTTTTATTCTCATCCAGTGGGATTAGCAGGACCACATCACATGCAATATAAGGAAGTACACCTTTATTTCAGTCTTCATCATCCTAGGACCCAAACACCAGGATACACCACCTGGTATGCTGGGTGCAAAGTCCAGAAGATCCCTATAAACACGGTTGACCCTACAGTGTTGTGCTACAAGCCCTTGCCAAGGCGCAGCTCACCCCACTTCCCCAAAGGGAAGTCCCTGGGGCTCACCCCAGATAAGCAGGCAGAGCAGGACCCAGACTAAAACAGCAGCACACAGGAAAGGCGCCAGCTAGCCCTGGGGCATGCCTCAGAATCCGAGCAGCAGCTGGGGGATGTCCACACTTTGGCTACGGTGGGTCCCAGCTACAGAGCCATCCCAAAGGCAAGAACAGCCCCAAGTGTGGGCTTCTGGGGCAGGCCAACTGGCCGAGGTAGTATAAGGACATCTGAAAATGTGGAGTGCCCAGTGACCACGTCAGGTGCTTTAATGGGCTGGGAGTTGCCTGGGTCTAGGGACAACAGAGTGAGAGGCAGGGGATATTTGAGTCAGAGCTCTAAGATTGGCAGTTAGTAATCCGAGCCCGGTGGAGGGGTCCTCAGAAGTGAGGGAAACACAGGGAAAGGCAGGAGGAACAGGGCAAAGAGGGCTCTAGGATAGAGGAGGACAGGGACAGAGAAGCAGGCAGGGGAACATGGAGGAGTGGGAAAGACAGAAAGGTCTGTGAGGAACCTTTTAACCTATCTTCCCTTTCTCCCACTGCCTCTGTGAATTCTGGAGCAAGGGTGGTGGAGCAAGGGCCCACCCACCCGGGCCCACCCACCCTCTAACCTCATCACATCAGTCATCTGAGGCCATTACCGGCTGGCCTGGAAACGATGCTGAGCCAAAGCAATCAGAGACCTGCCGAGCCTTGCACACTTCTCCTCTAGCCTCAAGCTAAGTATGGACCTCAGTTTATCCCCCCCTTCTTCTGGGGTGCCCTGCCCCAGCCTACCCAGGCTGGTCCTCCGTCCAGCACCTAACCCAGGGGGACTCTTCCTTGGGATCTCCTGAATCACACACTGGTAGCTACTCTAGGCCCCAGGCAGGAAGGGGAGAAATCGTGGGAGAGAACAGGAGGGAAGGAAGGACAGGGTTTTTGAGAGCAAATCCCCAGTCGGGTCCAAGGCCAGCAATTTGGAATCCGCCCTCTAACCCTGGGACCCAAGTACAGAGAAAACTTTTATGAAAGACGTTTAACAATGTAAATATATTTTTAAACTGTTGTGCAAGTGTGCACGTTAAATCTTTTTTTGCTTTGTTTTCAGCTTTAACTCATCATTTATGAGCATAGTTAAAATTTTAAAATTGTACTAAATAGTCTACAGCAGCATCACTTAGCTAGCCAGAACTGAAAGTGTTGCACTTATTAAAAAAAAAAAAATTGTTTTTGCCATTAGGAAAGGGGAGGAAGCCATTAATCAATACTAAACACGGAGAAGGAGGAGGAGGAGAAGGGAAGAGGAAGAGGGAGGAGGAGGACAAGGGAAGAGGAGGAGGAGGAGGGAGAGGAGGAGGAGGGAAAAGCAGGCTCTAGAAGTAGCTGTGATCTTAACATCCTAGGCTTAATGTCTACAGATGCCAGGCAGCGCTGTTCTCAAAAGGAACCTTGGTGTTTGCCGTTGGCGGGGAGTAGTGAGGGCCAGGAGAACTGGAGGGGTAGCGCCCTGGATTAAAGTGACTGTGGCCAAGGGGAGATGCAAGCCCCATGTGGTGCTTTCAATTTCAGGAAAAGTGGGGAGTCTAGTACAGTCAGCCCTTTGCGTTTTTCCAATCCCGCACCCACAGATTCCACTGTGAATGAAAATTCCCAAAAAGAAGCCTGGCTGCCTGTGACCAAGAAACTCTGGAGGCCGGGCAGTGGTGGCGCACGCCTTTAGTCCCAGCACTCGGGAGGCAGAGCCAGGCGGATCTCTGAGTTTGAGGCCAGCCTGGTCTACAGAGCGAGATCCAGGACAGGTGCAAAGCTACACAGAGAAACCCTGTCTCAAAAAACCAAAAAAAAAAAAGAAAGAAAGAAACTCAGGGAAGGAGTCTGTGTCTGCAGAGACTGACGGACCCATTGGAATTTCACTACTGTGGAGAGAATGGGATTTTGTAGGTTCAGAGGCTAATTACTTTATCGGACTAGTTCTAGCCTTCTGGAACAGCCATTTTTTTTCCCACTCTGTATCCTAGCTAATACCTTGTGATAATAAATAAAAACCTCTTAGAAGCTGTTAATTTAGCAGAATGCTAGTTTCCACCAATCCAAGAGCCAAGAATGTCACACAGTAGCATCTTGGGCCTATAGACTAGCTCCCTCATCTCTTTGTACCCAGCTCTCTCGGACACCCACCAATGTATTTTAAAGTTGCCTTGATTTATGAATTTCTTCTTTCTGTAAAGTTATAAAAACTCTATGAAACTACTTCCGTGTTAGAGCATGGAATTTGGGGTAACCAAAATCTGTGTTCCCAGGCCATGGTCCCTCACAATGGTCCCAGCACAAACTATCTCTTACTTCCTTTATGATGAGAGCTGTGGTTTTTATGCTGACACAGCCAACCATGGCTGTGTGCTGTGCAGTTAGGCCTAGGAAGGTGTAGGTGTATCCGCACTGAGCATATCCTGCTTTTTCCTGTCATTATTCTCTACCGTCGTCTCTATTACAAATAATCTAGAAATTACTTAGAGTACACAGGATAAAGTGCATAGGTACTATCTAAAAAGTTATATCTTATATAAGGGACTTGAGAGTCAAGGATTTTGGTATCCACCAGAGTCCTTGAATTGGTACATTATAGATACTTAGCGGTAACTACATAATGTTTTTTATTTTTTAAAGAAAGTTAAAATATTTTTAGATTGTTTAAAAAATTATTTTACGTGTGTGGGTGTTTTGTTTGCATGTGTGTCTGTAAACCACATACATTCCCAGGGCCTGCAGAGGCCAGAAGAGGGTGTCAGATCCCCTAGAACTGGAGTTATCGACCATTGCTAGCCTCTAGGTGGGTCTTGGGAATCAAACCTTGATTCTCTGGAAAACCAACAAGTGTTCTTAACCACTGAGCTATCTCTCCAGCCCTAGCTTGTATATTACATATATAACTATACACAGTTGTTTTTGTTTAGACAGGTTCTTACTGGCAGCCCTGGCTAGCTGGAAACTCACTGTGTATAGCAGGCTGGCTTCAGACTCTCAGAGATCCATATGTCTCTGCCTGTTCAGTGCTAGCATTGAAGGTATGTGTGTGCTACCACACCTGCCCCTCACCCCTAGCCTATATCTATATCTATATCTATATCTATATCTATATCTATATCTATATCTATATCTATATCTATCTATCTATATATATATACACATACATACATACACTATATGTATATATATGTGTGTACATATATATGTATGTATGTATTAGTTTACTACTTTTCAATTGATTTTCAAATGTTAGCTCAAAACAAAAACATCCCACGAGCCAAATCAAACAAATGTAATGGCTAGTTTCTGTCCTGAGCATTCTCAGATTAAGAAGTTGCTGCAGGCCTGTAATGCTTTGAGGGGCCACCTTCAAACGCAGACTTGATTCCGTGGGTGTGGGACTGAGGCTCTGTGTGCCTAACAGTCTCCCAGGTGATGCCAGTGCTGCTGGCATACCAGCTGTGCCTCTCTTAGTGAGGACTTCTTTCATCTTTCAGACTCTGTCAACATCGTCTCCAGTTCTGTTTACATTGCCAGGTCCTGGACACTCACTACCTACTGGGTGTCTGCTGCCAACATCCTCCAGAATCTGTGCCAACGACAGAGACAGCAAGAGTCAAACTTGCCAAAGCCCAGGCGCCGGCAGCTCAGTGTTCCACAAAGGAAACTTCAGCTGGGGATTGGTCAGGACTAGATGTGGACGTTGGCTGCAAAGATCTCAGGAGAATTTTTTTTTTTTCAACTATCAATTCACCAACACCCAGATGAGCAGACGATAAACTATCCATCTGCCATTATTCTGGTTAGCAAAGTTTGATGCAGCTGATTTCCCTCCCCTGGAGCATCAAAGCAAGCTTTTCTCTGCACTTGGGCAAGTGATTTGGTTCTGCCCATTGGAGCGGGAGCCAGTTTCTTACCAGTGAGCGATGGAGAGCAGAGGGAATAAGATGGAGGTTAACAGAAGACCTGGTCTTTCCAGGCTGCATGATGACCCCTGCCCTGTAGAACATGAGGCCTCCATGCCCCTGGAGTTTCTGATCCCAGATCCCTGCTTCTGGGGTCTCACAGGACCCAGAGAGTGGAGAACCCTCCACTTCTGCAACCCCCAATGAGCTCAGGGTCCTTGGACCTGAGGGTCCTATGCCACAGCCTGAGTCCCAAGGCCAGCCACTCTAAAGGCCACTGTAAGGGCCACAGCGTGGTGGAAACCACTTAGCCCCCCTCATTCTACCACCCAGGGGAGACTGAACAGCACTTCCGATCTTCCCAAGGTCACATTGCTGGTCTGCAGCAGACTCCTGGCTCAGAGTCCTTGGAGGCAGAACTGGACGGAAACCTCAGATGTCAGACCCAGGTATAGCAGCAACTTCAGAAAGGGCCTTGCAGAATAATCCTGAGGGAATAAGAGCTGTCTCAGAGAAGAAGAAACGTGTGCAGAAGGAGGATCATGACCTAGAGATTCTTGCGTGAAGGCCACGGAGAGACCTTTAGCGGTGACAGAACTGCAAATACAACCTCACACTGAGCTCTGGCAAATGCTATCCCACAGAAGTCTGTCTTTGTGCAGTACAGCATGAGTGAGGGGCCTCTCTGAGAAGCCTGGTTTATGGCCAGGGAAGGGGTGGGTCTGGGAAAAAACTCCTAAACCTGGATTCTGGGATCACTCCAGACCCACCAAATCAGTATGCCCGATGTTGGTGCTCCCTCTAGGGGAAATCCCTTTTCCAGGCTGAGGAATCAGCCCCTGTCTCCTAAACCAGAGAGGAATAGGGACACTTGGCTTGGGTGGGACATCCTGCAGGCAACTCCTACCTAGTCTTGACCTGACCCCTAGGAAGTACACCCCCATCCTAGCCCCCAAAAGTGAGCGGTCCCTGAGGATGAGGGGGAGACACAGTACCTGTTCCCAGGGAGCTTCACTTCCCAGTGAACTGGCCCGGCCTGGCTTTCTGCAACTTCCTGAGCCTCTCTGGGGGGATCTCCTGCAGACTGATGCCATGGTTGCTGGCCCTGCAGGGGAGATTGCAGCCTCAGGAAAGAGAAACAAGGGTGAGGGAGGGCAGGGCTTGGGTAACTGCTGCTTGGTAGGCATGAGGATGAGACTTGGTGTGGGAGGCAGGAAGAAAGGGCGAAGGCACAAAGGGCCCACTGGCTGGCGCCACTGAGGCACCTGTCACGCGGCAGGTTCAAGCCCCACCCCCCCACCCCCGCTTACCCTGGCTGCAGATCCGGTGGTTTGGGGATGGGCTTGTTGAAACCCTGTCTACCCACAAGCCAGTACGTGTCCTCAGCACCCTTGCCCTGGGGGACACAAAAAGAATCTTTAGGTCTAGGTGAATCTGGGAGACCCTACATCTGTATGGACCCCGACAAAGTGGCAGAGTGTGGTCCAGACTTACCTTTAGCTCTGTGCGGCCCCGCCGCTCCATCTGGTAGCCCTGGTCCAGAGCACAAAGAATCTGAACAGTGCTCATGTTCACGTGGATGCGGTAAGCTGAGGCAGAGAGAGAAGACGTTGATCTCGGGATTCACCTCTCATCTCCATCCTGGGCCATCATCTCCCCTGTCCAGCCTCTCCCCACCTCCCCCAGCTCTCCTTGTCTGTTACACTCACGTAGCCCCGTGGACTCCATTCGTGAGGCTGTGTTGACTGTGTCCCCAAATAGGCAGTACCGAGGCATGGTGAGGCCCACAACACCAGCCACGCACGGGCCTGGGGAGATAGGCCAGGTCAGAGGGCGGGCAGACAGAGACTGGGTCAAAGCTGGCGGTGCCCAGCAGCTAGGCTGTACAGAGGGCCTTGAGGCACCTTAGGACCCACACTCTCTACCAACTCCCCCAATAAAAACGCTCTTGTGTATTTTCTTCAAGACAAGCCCCCACCCCAGGCTACCCCCACCCCAGGCTACCCCCACCCCAGGCTACCCCCACCCCACGCTACCCCCACCCCACGCTACCCCCACCCAACGCTACCCCCACCCCACGCTACCCCCACCAAGGCGGGAGCTGCCTCCTACAGCTGAAATCTGGAGCCCCAGAAGCCGGGAGGGCCAAGGAGTTACCTGAGTGCAGGCCAATGCGGATGCGCACTGGTACCTCAGGCATATGGCGCATGCGGAAAGAGCCTACCGCACTGAGGATGTCCAGTGACATGTTGGCAATCTCTGCGGCATGCCGCTGCCCATTCCTTTGTGGCAGCCCGGAGGCCACCATATAGGCATCGCCGATTGTTTCCACCTGGGGGACGGGGCTGTGTTGGTTCAGTTCCGAGCACCTTTCCCCCCCAATAACGCAAAGCAGTGTCACGTGTCGGGAGGTCTAAAGGGTTAGGCCAGACATCCCGGGAAGCCACGCTGGGAGTCAGGAGTTGCACTTGGGCATGAAGGAAGAGATCAGTGGCCGCGGGGCTGAGGAAATCCAGCTGGCGTCCTGAGGCAGGTGGAACCGCTTCATTTAAACGGAAACCCGGGACTCAGGAGGCAGAGGCAGGAGGATTGCCACAAGTCCGAGGCCAGCCTGGTCTACAAGCAAGTTCTAAGCCACCCAGGTATACATAGAAAACAGAAGAAAACCAAAGGGCAGGGGGTTATCTCCTGCACACTCTACCTTGTAGACATCGTGGGCCCCGATGATGGCGTCGAAGAGCGTATAGAGGTCATTGAGAAGGTCCACCACCTCAATGGGCTCACTCATGGCCGAAATGGTGGTGAAGCCCACGATGTCACTGAAGTAGAGCGTCACCTCTTCAAAGTACTCGGGCTCCACAGATGTCCCCATCTTCAGGGCCTCAGCCACAGATCTAGGAATGGCAAGCCGCAGGGTCACCTGGAGGCCACCCCAACCTGGCCACCCTCTCCCCACACTCCTCTCCACAGGCACCCACGGAGGCAGCATCTGCGTGAGCAGCCTGTCTGTCTTCTGCTTCTCCTGCTCTAACTCCTCTGTGCGCTCTCGGATCAGGTCCTCCAGGTTACTGGAGTACTGTTCCAGCATCCGAAGCATGGAGTCGATGATGTTCGTCTTCCGGCCCTTGTTGATGCTCTTGAACTAGGAGAGGAGAAAACTAGTTTTTTTTGTTTTTTTTTTTTTTTAAAACAACAACAACAACAAAAAAAAACCCCTAAGACTTGGGCTGCCTCTCCTGGGCCCTCTCAGGGGGCTACACATCTGAGCACCGTTTACCTTTTACTCATGAAGCACCCCAGATTCCTGGCCACCATGTTTGTGGATATTATTATAGGGTATGTGGAAAAGGAGGGTTCCCACAGATAGCTGCTCTGAGTTGGAACTGACAAGGCACTGAACTCAAGCCAAGGGTTTTCCTGTCTCAGTAAACCAAGCACATATCTGGTTCTTACTCAACGTTGCTGATTTGGATTAAGTATTTCTCCCACCCAGAGTTCCCTTTCCCATCCTGAAGGCCTCCACAAGTCCTCACATGCTTCCTAAACCTTCCCTACCAAATCTGCAGTCGTTAGGTTAATCCTTAGGAGAGAGCCTAAAAGGTCAAAGATCCTGCTAGCCTGCTTGCCCAGAAACAGGATGCTGACAGGAATCGGGGATCCCAGGGGCCAACCCAGTCCTTGCCCAATCCCAGCTCCTGACCAGGTCAAAGGTGTGGTCCATAGAGGGCCGAAGTTCTGGCTGCTCTGCCCAGCACTGCGTCATCAGCTGGATGCACTCCATGGGCGCCTGGTCCATTGACACCAGGGGCCGACACAGTGGGGGAGGACTCTGTACCCTCTGGATCACTTCTAGAGGCAAGAAGAAACCGCGAGAAGTGGGCAAACCCAAATAAATACAACCTACCTCTCACTCTAGCCCAAGACGGGGCACTGGAAGAGGGTCTCGTGTGATTCCAAGCTGCTCTCCAGCATGCGATGTAGCTGAGGATGACCCCGAACTTCTCATCCTTCTACTTCCCAAGCAAGTGCTGGGACCACAGGCTTGTATGACCACGCCCAGATGTGGGGTGCTGGGAATTGAACTCAGGGCTTTGTGTACATTAGGCAAATACTCTACCAACTGAGCTTCTTCCCAGCCAGAGAGGATTGTTTGTTTGTTTGCTTGCTTGTTTGTTTGTTTGTTTGTTTGAGATAGGGTTTCTCTGTGTAGCCCTGGCTGTCCCCCACTCTGTAGACTAGGTTGGCCTCGAACTCACAGAGATCTGCCTGCCTCTGCCTCCCGAGTGCTGAGATTAAAGGCGTGCACCTGGCTAGGATTGTTTGAACTTCCAGGCCTTAGGAGATGGCTCAGTCACCGTCTGACATGCAAGCCAGAAGGCCTGAGCTTGGATTTCCAGAAGCCACATTAAAATAATTGTAAAAAGCCAGACCCAGTGGCAACACCTGTAACGCTAGCACTAGGAAGGCAGACACGGGCTCCCTGGGGCTTGCTGCTATCCAACATAGCTAACTGGTGAGTTCTAGGTTCAGTGGGAGACTCTGTCTCAAAAAATGAAGGGGAGAACGATTGAGGAAGACACCTGGCACTGGCCCGTGGCCTCCATTTGCGGCGCGCACGCGCGCATACACACACACACACATACACACCTGTCTGCACACATGGACACATACATACACTACACACAAATAAATAAGTAAAGAGACGCTTTAGCTGGCGGGGGGAATGTAACATGGATGGGCATCTCTAGGAGTAAGGGGGGGCCCTTGAAATCTGAGGGTCAGTAAGAGGCGACAGAGACAAACTAATGTTTACTGAGCCTAAGAAACGGGTGAGAATCCTATAGATGATGAACGATTTGGGTTTGGATGCAATGGGACCGTCCTCTGACCCCTCTGTTGTCCCTTCTGCCTTCCTAGGATCTCTGAGAATCAGAGAGGAGCCTGTCTGTGTGATGGAAGAGCAGGGTGGGGCCAGGGTCAGGACAGAAGCTGTTAAGACTTGTGCCCTGAAACACCCGCCTCATGCTTGGCTCGGCTTTCCCACTGCCGCCCTAGACCCCAGCTTTAAGAAAGCCACCACAAGCCGGGCGGTGGTGGCGCACGCCTTTAAAACCAGCACTCAGGAGACAGAGGCAGGCGGATCTCCGTGAGTTAGAGGCCAGCCTGGTCTACAGAGCGAGATCCAGGAAAGGCCCAAAGCTACACAGAGAAACAGTCTGGAAAATCTAAAAAAAGAAAGCCACCACACGATGAAGTCTCAGCACGGGGCTTCACTTTACTAAAGAGCCAGGCCGGGTCTAGGCTGGCTGTTTTAACTGCGGGGGTGGCTGCCTGGCCTCAAGCCACCTTACCCTCGGGTGTGAGCTCCAGCATAGCATAGGGAGGGCTGCGACACACGACCTCCTGCATGATGATGCCCAGGCTAAAGACATCCCCAGCGAGGGTTCCGCGTCGCTCCAGGGCTGGGTCCCGAAGCAGCTCTGGGGCTGTCCATAACTGATCTAGGAAGAGGAAAGAGGGATGTGGGCACGTGAGAGGCTGCGGTGGCCCCGAGGATCAGATCCTCAGTGATACTAATTAATCCTACAAGCCCGCAAATAGCTCAGAGCCCAGACGATTTGAGCCTTCCAGAGAAAAGCCTGCCCTCCCGAAGGAAGGCGGTGCCTAGGGAAGACTTGGCCTCCGGAGAGCCAGCCTTCAGCAAAAGCCACTTATCCACAGACCCGGAGTTCAGGCACCCCCTGGCAAGCTCCCACGTGCTGGCCACAGACCTTTTCTGCAGCTGCTTATTGTTAGCAGATCTGGGATGTGAAGAGTGCGCGAAAGGGATGGAGGGAAAAGCGCTTGAGACTATACCGATCCCGGATCCCGGATCCCCAGGGGCGCAGCTGGGGACTCCTACCCTCCGCACTGGGAGGCTCCGGTAACACCCTTTGCGCTTCCAGCAGTCGCCCGTGGCCATGATCTGTCACCTTGAGCACGAACCTCCCGTCCACCACGCAGTTCCGAGACTTAAGCCTCCCGTGGGCCACACCGCGGTGGTGCAGATACCTCATTCCCTTGGGAGGAGTGGAGGAAGAGGCAACCTCAGTTCCCCTGGTCCCCCAGCATCCCCGTCAGCACGTCTCTTATCTCCCGCAAACACACACACAGGCAGTACACACACCTTGATGAGGTCCAGCAGGAGAGAAGACTTGAACATCCAGTCCAGCTTTATGTCTCTCTGGGCCAGGAGGTCATGGAGGGAGCCCCGAGCACAGTGCTCTGAGACCACAGCCAAAATGCCCTCCCCAGGGGCGGCAGGGCTGTCTGCTGTCCCCGCCAGGAACAGCCCCAGGTAGAGAACCACATTCTCATGCCGGAGCTCCCGCAGCTGAAAGGCAGAAACCGACGACGACGGGAGTTTTTTGTTTTTTGTTTTTGTTTTGTTTTTTGCCCAGGAGGCAATGCACGGAGCACCAATTATTCTTCCCCCATATTCAGTGCCTATTTGGGGGCAGCCAAACTGGGAATGAAGGGCTGAGAATGGTAGGTAAAATGGGGTGGAGGTGGGAGGACTTTCTTCTCTATGCGGTTCTGTTTCGATGATGAATGGCTAAGCTTAAAGTTATGAATGAAAAGACAAACATGTACTGGGGATTAGGACCCAGTCAGGTTCTGCTCTGCTGACCATAAAGCTGAGGGACTAAATTAACTAGAGTTAAGTGGAGTCGTAAAGGGAGAGCAACGCTCCACGCAGCCCTGCCACCCAGTCTTTGATGGAGGACGAGACAGAGCAGCGCCTGCTGCTGCCGCCTTCCAGCTTTCCCTGGGGCCACATGCCGGTTCAGGGGCTGCTTTTCACTTTAAACACCCGGTGTCAAATGGTGACTTCGTCCATACCCACAAAGGCAACTCACTTAAGGCACTCACAGCTGTGACCACAAGCTCCCGAGGCTGCCTCCTGGAAAAAGGCCAAACCAAGGCTGCTTGCTTGGTGCTGGGGGAAGGGGGACATGACCGCCTCCTTGTCAACGGTCCACTTTCCTCACTGTCAGCACAGCTGGGACCACTCCACACAGGTGTCCTCACAGATGCGGAAACTCATTTCAATGTTTTTTCTTTGAAAAAAAATGTTTATTGATGGGTGTGTGCACATCTGCATATGTGTATGTCTGTGGGCATCTGTGTGCCGTGGCACCCCTGTGGAGATCAGAGGGCAACTTGGAGGAGTCAGCTCTTTCACTTCCACTAAGTGGGTTCTGGGGAACACATCCAGGTGATGTCAGTAGGTACCTTGGTCCACTGAGCCGTCTCGATGGGTCCTCATTCTTACTTTTTTTTTTTTTTTTTTTTAAATCATTTCACTTAATACAGTTCTACTGGCCTGTGAGGAGACCCTGGGCTGGGTGAAGGGAATAAGGTAGCATCCTTATTCAGATTTCAGTCCATGATGGAGGCAGATAAGCCAGACCATAGTTGAATGTACAGCTTTTGTGATAAAATGACATGTTACCACATAGAAGCTGTGATAACATAAAAACAAAAACCAAAAAAAAAAAAAAAACCCAAAAAACACCTAATATCACAAGAGAGGATGATGGGAAGTCCTCTCCAGAGTGGAGGGAAACCTGAGAATTACCTCTGTAACCTGCTGCAAAAGGAAGTCAAGGATGGGCAGACCAATCCCCATCATGGGTTACCTTGGAGAAGGCTGTCTTGGTTGCTGGCCTGATGGCCATATGATGATCCCCTGGAAATTTCTTCAGCCAAACCCAGTCTCCCTGCAGCAGAAGGTTAAGGAATTCAGTCCATGAAGCCCCAAGATGCAAGATGCTCTAGGGCTCTCACATTTCCACTGGCCCAGTGACCCAGAACACATCTGTCACAAGACCGAGAACATCAGAGGCAAGCAGCTCAGTGCATGCCCATACGTTTCCCGGGTAGCTGGGTCAGAGCCCAGGTGAGGAAGATGTGAAGCCATGCATGGTGGGTCCTCACCACCCCAGATATGCCCATCAACACTCGTACAAGTGAACTGGTGCATACACAGCCCTCATCATTATCCTTTGTCATGAGAGAGCACTGTACTAAGAGTCATCAGGAATTACTGTGAAGGGAGCTGTCATCCCTGTGGGTCCTGGCCTCACTGTCTCCAGCTGCTTGGAAGGGTCAGTTCATGGTATGCCATGGTATAGACACTTGGTTCAGTGATCTGCTGCTGTTATCTGGATGAGCAAGGAGCCCTTTGTTCTTAATTTGCCCTGGGCCTTGCAAATCAGATTAGTGGTCCTGCCTGTTGCTAAGAGACTGGAACTAGAAGAGAGTCGTGAAGATTTGGTACTGTCTCCTAATAAGCATTTGGAAGTTAATATGGAGATACGTTTTAAAGGTCATTAAAAGCTGGGGTTGCATTTAATGGGCGGGACCAGAGAGAAGAAAGACTTAGCATAGGCAGAGGGTGGTCCCACGCAAAGAACAGCTTGCTTAACATAACAATAATGTGTCTCTGAGAACCGGTCGGTCGCCACGGTCTCAGGTGGCACAGTAAGAACTGTGGCATTTTCTCCAAGACCTTGAGCTTGGCCAATCTCCCCACTCCTCCCTATGAGTTGAGATCTCCAGCTCATCCTGTCTCTCCCCTCAGTATCTCTCGCCCACCCTGCCACATTCACGCGTCCTGGACCAGTTGTTAGTGTTCTCTGACATTTCTTTTCTGGTGTAGGGCTTGTGTTTATGAGTCTGACCAGAACTGGTTGAAAATGTTGAGGGGGTGGGGGTCAGGGACTTCCAGCAGAGAAGGAATTGGCCTCACTGGCTACACCACCTTGTACGCTGACCACAGCATGCTGATCAGCACCCCCAGCCTCCAGATTTTGGGTTTTGGGAAGGCCTCACCTGGGTCTTGTGGCAGAAAGGATTTCCAGATAGGAGAATCAGGTTAGGATTGCTAAATCTGTGACTTTTCCCTAGATCCTGCTCAGCTCCATCTCCCTGCCTGGAGCCTGCAGGATGTGACTTGTCCGTCTCTCTCCCTTAGGAGTGTTTTCCCTCCGACTCTGGTCTGAGCCCCCTTCCTTCTCTTCCCTTCCTGGAGTGCGGGGCAGTCTCACTGGGGATTTGCTCACCTCATAGAGGCCAATGTTGCTGCTCTCGGGGGGCTGGCTGGGGACACTGCGAATGTCTGATGTGCTCCTGGTAGCCAGACTTGATCTACTGCCCTGGGCCACCTGAGGACAAAGGTCAAAACAAGAATCAGAATATATTCTGGGGCCAAAGTCCTGGGGCTGAGGCTGAGTTCTGTGGGTGAAAGAGAGGAGGAAAAGGAATCTGCAGGCAAGTGGAAATGGCACCCAGTACATCACACTTTACAGTTTACAAAACAAACATTCAGCCGGGTGGTGGTGGCGCAGCCTTTAGTCCCAGCACTTGGGAGGCAGAGGCAGGTGGATCTCTGTGAGTTCGAGGCCAGCCTGGTCTACAAAGCGAGTTCCAAGAAAGGCGCAAAGCTACACAGAGAAACCCTGTCTTGAAAACAAACAAACAAACAAACATTCATTTTCTAGTGGGACCTTCACACGAGCCTGAGACAGGACTGTCCCCCTATTGCATAGATGAGGTCCCTGATTCTCAAGGACAAAGCCGGAGCAGAAGCTAAGTTCCTCACATGGGAGTTGGGGGCACAGCTGGCTCAGGGAGGGGACAGGTGGCTCCTGGCTCCCTGCTTTCCTGACCTTCCGAGAGCTGCCCCCTGGTGGGTGAAGGAAGGTAACATCTTCCAGAGTCAGGATGATCTTGTTGGGGCCGGAGACCATTTGCATGTGTAGCAGCCTGTGCCTGGTGTGGGGAGGTGGTCATCCCCACAAATTCCATAAGAGGCCAGCAGGGGATAGAGCAGAGGGGTGATGTTAGTTCAGGGAAGTGTACTGGAATATAGCAGGTCCCCAAACGTACTCTGGAATTCTGCCAACTCCCTGGATCCTTACGTCCCTCCCAAGGCGACTTCCCCATCTTGTGGACACCTCACCTCCTGTCTTTATGGCACAACTTTACCTCCCTACTCACCTCAGGTAATGAGCCAGGAAGGCTCCGGTCAGTCCCACCCCGATCACCAGGAGGAAGCCAATGAAGACCAGGCCTGGCTCCACTCCTAAAGGGACAAAGAGAGGGGCCCTTGGTCTTGGAAGGGAAGGACCCCTTAAGGGGGGGGGAGTTCAATCAATCATGCCAAATCTAAGAAATGGGTTTAGGAGCTGGGTCAAAGCTCACAGATTCCTCAAAGGGGGAGTCTGGAGATTCTACAAGGGTCCTCAAGGGTTTTAGAAATCCTTGAGGAGTCCTGAGCAAGCCGTGGGCTGAAGGAGGACCTGGGAGAATAACAGAAGTTCCCTCCCTCACACAGCGTTGTGAATTGTCCACATTGACTGTTTCAGTGGGAGCCTGTAGGGGCTCCCCTCACCTCCATTGCAGATCACATCTGGATCAAACCAGCAGGAAGGATCTGGCCCAGGCGCAGGTCCACCTCGAGGGAAGTGCACAGGGGGCCCAGCAGGGCGTATAGAGCCTCGGATAGGATCCAACAGATGTGTGGTGAAGAGCCGATCTCCTGACGCATCTGTGTCCAGCAGCACAAAGGAGGGCTCCTCGGTTCTTCCCAGGACCCCGCAAAAGCCAGAGACTTGGGCTTCCTGAACTTGGCGGGCCACAGATGCACCTGACACCCAGCCACCACCCACAGCTTCTCTGGCTCTTGTCACTCCCCCAGCCAACAGGAAGATAGCATCATAGATGGTTCCAAACAGTGGAGAGACCTAGAGGAGAGGAGAGTGAGGACTCAGGGCCTGGACTTAGAGCCCATGAACAGGTGAGAATTCACCGGACTGCCTGTTCCTTCATGAGCCCCACTACCTCCGAGGGTTCCTATCTCCTGGGTGAAGGCTCCCCACACTCCCCATTGTCTGTTGGCATGGATCACACCTCCTCTCAGGAGTTAGGTCCTTCTCTCGTCATGACTGAGACTCTCCATAGCCTAGACTTTTTCATCTAGTTTTTTGCCTGGCTTATACCTTTAATCTATCTCATCACCTACCATTCATTTAAGGCCCCCATCCTTTGCTCATGTCTTCGTGTTGTTTATTTATTGCTGAGGTTGACCTTAAACTCATCCTGTAGCCTAGGCAGATGTTGGATCTATCTTTATTCCTGCCTTCCTCCCTCCTCACTCTTTTCCACTCTCTGTCTGTCTATCTGTCTGTCTGTCTGTCTGTCTCTCTCTCTCTCTCTCTCTCTCTCTCTCTCTCTCACACACACACACACACACACACACACACACACACACACA